GTTTGCTTCTTCTTTCCTATCAAACATCTATCATCTTTACCTCCCATCCTTTTTTATGTTTGTTACTCTCTTGTAGCACCTGGGGTCGGCATGTATATGACCTTATTGTGTTGCAAGTGACATAGAACTCTTACTTTTTAAAAATGACAGGGGTTGTTGGAGCCCCCCTCCTTGACGCTCTAAATTGTGTTGATGGGGTGTAAAAAACATCTTCATTTGATTTTTTTATTTATTTTTTTTTCCCCTTTTTCCCTCTCCAGCCAGTTGTGTCTGTTCTGCGAGAAGTCGTTCAAGGACAAAGCCAGCCTCCGAGAACACATGAGGAAGAAACAACACCGCAAGATCAACCCCAAGAACAAAGAGTACGACCAATTCTACATCATCAACTATATGGTAAGAGTCCACCTTGTCTGCTATGTCTGTGTGAAACCTAGAAAACTGAAAAATTACATGTTTTGTGCCTTTAATCAATGTTTTGTCAGTAAATTCCCACGTAAATCTGTTTTTATATGGACATAAAAGGTGTTGAACCAAAAAAAACAAAAATTCAATAAAAATTGTCAAACTGGCAATAAAAAATGCCTGTTTCTTCGATTTCATTATTTTGACAAGCGCCTGATTTCACCACAATGCCTCACATATTATTATTATTATTATTATTGTTGTTGTTATACAGTTGGAGTCAAAGACTTGGATGCACTGACTTTTTCATGGGTGTGATTCTGTTATGGGCTAAACTCGTAAGTGGGGGAAAATGTGTGTTGATCCATCTGCCAACCCTTCGTTATCTTTCAGTCCATGAATTTGCCAGTGTCTTTTTGGGTGGATGGCGGCTACTCTGGTGTTGTTTACCCCTTCTTTCCAGTCAAACATTTATCGTCCTTGACTCTCCTCCTTCTTTGATTTTGTATGTGCGGGTGGTTTGTGGGTGCTCTGGTGTGATTTGCTTCTCCTTTCCTATAAAAATTCTATTGTCTCTATCTCCCCTCCTTCTTTTTTGTGTTTGTTACTCTCTTGTATCACCTCTAATCTTCGGCACTTATATGACCTTATTGTGTTGCAAGTGCCGTAAAACTCTTTTGAAAAAAACAAACAAACAAGAACTGACCCTCATCTCCTGTGTGTCGTGTGTGTTTCCTGTGGCAGGAGATGGGCAAGAACTGGGAGAGTCTGCAGTCGGAGGACAACCGGCCCGTCTCCAACCACGAGAAACCTGCCAACGAGGAAGAGTAAGTGACCGCTTCACGTACACTGATGTAGATGTGTGTGCCTTTGTGCTTTCTTGTCCTATCTCCATTTTCTTTAATCATTGAAAATGTGACTTCGTTTCGGGCACACTCTTTTTTGTGAACTGTTTTCTCACAGTTATTAACCTTACTACCATACGACGTGGGGAACTCTGTGCTTCCACTTTCCGAAGAGGAATTTTACTCCTTAATCCAATCCGTACGCTTTTCATAGCAGTATGTCAAAATGATTTTTTGAGAAATACTGAAAGTTTCAAAGAGATCTTCGTACTAGAAGTATTCTAAAATGTGAAGAGTACAACCCCAGGGGTACAAAATGATCCCAGGGTGTACGGATAGGGTTAACAGTGAAAATGTGACTTTTTCTTCAGCTCACTCTTTGTTATGAACTGTTTTCCCTGTTGTTAAAAATGGTGATAGGACAAGAAAGCACTGAGGTCGTGATATGTGTGTGCATGTGTGATGACAGAGAAGGTGGCCGTTTGAGTGAGACGGTTCGACCGTACTTGGCTGCTTGAATACTCAGCTGCTGTGCTCTGTGAATTGAAGCTTGGAAAAAGAATGGAGTTTTTTTTGTTTTATTGTTTCCTCCTTATTTGAGACAGTCCTTCAGTTTTTTAAACATTTTCCACTCGGGTAAGGTGCTGTGCGCTACTGTTTCTATTGCTTCTTCGTGGAAATGAAAATGATCGTATACCACAGTATATAGGAACCAACTTTATACCTAAAAGTCAGGGCTTTATTTACAGTCACCCTGTGGCTTATTCATGAGATAGGAAATGAGGTTCACTGACATTCCTAAGGTATGGTTGTCTGTGTTGTGTGGTTTGCTCTTTCTCTCCTTTCAAACTTCTATCTTCTTTATCTCCCCTCCTTCTATTTTGTATTTGTTACTTTCTTGTAACACCCCTAATCTTCGACACTTATATGACCTTATTGTGTTGCAAGTGCCGTAAGACTTTTACTAAAACTAAATGCCACTCACATGGCTTTGTGTGTTGTGTGATGGTCCATGTCTCACTCATGTCATCTCTATGTGTCGTGTGTTGTTTCATGTCTTACACATGTCATCTCTATGTGTTGTGTGTTGTTTTATGTCTTACACATGTCATCTCTATGTGTCGTGTGTTGTTTCATGTCTTACACATGTCATCTCTACGTGTTGTTTCATGTCTTACACATGTCATCTCTATGTGTCGTGTGTTGTTTCATGTCTTACACATGTCATCTCTATGTGTTGTGTGTTGTTTCATGTCTTACACATGTCATCTCTCCGTATTGTGTGTTGTTTCATGTCTCACACATGTCATCTCTCCGTGTTGTGTGTTGTTTCAGAGAGTGGTCTGGTTGGACAGAGGACTCAGAGCCACGTGTCGTCTGTCTGTTCTGTGACTTCTCCTGCCCCAACCAGTCAGACCTGCTGGCACACATGAAGGTGAGTACTTAACTCTTTTTTTTTTTTTTACGCCCCCATTGACAATATTTAGGTCATATTTTAGGAGGTGCACTTCTGACCCTGCCTGGCAGGTGCTCTGGTGTGGTTTGCTCCTTCTTTCCTATCAAACATCTATCGTCCTGATCTCTCCTCCTTCTTTTTTTGTGTTTTTTTTAACTCGCTTGTAACGCCTCTAATCTTCAGCACTAATATGACCTTATTGTGTTGTAAGTGCTGTGTAACTCTTACTAAAACTAAAGCCTGCCCTGTGTGGCCATTGTCATGTTCATGGGATTCTCTCTACTGCAAAGCTGTCAACTCACTTTCCTTCCATACCCCCAACCTCCCACCCCCCCAGGACAGTGCTACTGACTGAAGTTGTCTTTGGGCCATTCCCAAAGGGAGGACATTAACATGTTCTTATGCGCAGTAGAATTGTAAATGGGCTGATTTATCAATGTCATGCTCATACTGCTGCTCTTTCTTTCCTCATCCTTACTGTCGTCATTTTGTCCTTCTACTTCTTTTGTATGTGTGTCTCTCTTGTGAACTGGTATTTCCGGGGTGCATGGATAGTCGGAGCAGACTTTGTGCTGTTTAGGCTAGAGAGGTGAGCAGAGTAAGCCTGATTCCCTGTTTGGACTTTTCTGTTGACATCCACCCCTTGGCGCTCATATGACCTTATGCAGTGTGCGAGCGCTGTAAAACCTTACTGTAGGTGGTTGGCGGGTGCTCTGGTGTGGTTTGCTCCTTCTTTCCTATCAAACATCTATCGTCTTTGTCTCCCCTCCTTCTTTTTTATGTTTGTTACTCTCTTCGCACTTATATGACCTTATTGTGTTGCAAGTGCCATTAAACTCTTACTAAAACTATCTTAAAAAACCTTACTAAAATTCAAAACAAACTCACTCGCCTTTCTCTCACCTATCCCGGTGTGTGCTCATTCTGACAGGAGAAGCATGGGTTTGACCTACAGGACGTCAACCAAAAACTACAGCTCAACTTCTACCAGAAGGTGAAGCTCATCAACTACATCCGCAGACAGGTCAGTGCAGCGCTGAGCGGTGCTCGCCACGCCATGTGTGCAAATACTGCTGTCCCCATGGTTTGATGCTCCCTGCATAATTTAGCAAAATTTGATCATTTTTAATTTTTGCTTAATTTCTTATTATTTTCCTTTATCATTCTTAGTTAAAATTAACAGAATCGCATAATTTCACATTTTTGGGCTCAGTTTGCATAATTTCATAATTTTTCTTGCATAAAACGACGAGGACACTCGATTTCTGTCCTGTCCTTGTCTCTCCTCCTTCTTTTTTGTGTTTGTTACTGTCTTGTAACACCTCTATTCTTCGGCACATTGTCTGACGATGACCGATGCATCCGCATAATTTTACCTTAGCGAAATAGAGGAATTAAGGGTCAAGATGACTCATGGCTTCTGCTATGGCCAGTGAGACCAATTCTGGCAGAGAGTAGGCGTTGTAGAAGTGATCTACATTGTTATTATTTCTACTATTATTTTTTATGAGAGAAAAGTTTGCCACATTTTGAACTTTCAAAAGCGTGTCATTTCCCTTCTTTGATGCACTGCTTGTGGGTTTGGCTTTTCTCTCTTGGCTTCAACGTTTCAGATTCGTGGCACCTCGTATGACTTCTAAGATATTGTATTGTAAAGGGCTCAGAGCCTGTGTACTTTATTTGGGGTTGAGCGCCATATAAATGTGAGGCAGCTCGGTGAAATGAGGCGCTCTTCAAAATCACGAAATCGCAGAAACAGGCATTTTTCCGCCAGTTTGAAATTTTTTAATCAAATTTTTATTTTTTGACTTTACCTCTTGAATGTCAATATAAAAACATATTTCCTTGTAAAATTTACTGAAAAGCATTGATTAAAGGCACAAAATGTGTCATTGTTTAGTTTTCAAAGACTCTTTTGTCTTTGGAGTTACCAAACTTTGGCGGCTATTTTCTCGCTAATTAATTTCAACACTAAAAAATGGCAACCTCACCTGCTTCACCCCCTAATATCTTGAGTTCTATTCAGGATAAATTGATGCTTATTTCATTGGAAGCTAGGCAAATAAATCAGCTTTCAGATGATACCAATAACGCCATATGCGTCGGTGGCCTAGTGGTTAGGCTCTCGGACTCGCAACCGTAAGGTCGTGGGTTCGAATCCCGTCGAGGGCCCGACGTTGTGTCCTTGGGAAAGACACTTTACACGAATTTTCCTCACTTCACCCAGGTGGGAATGGGTACCCGGCTATAGACAGCGAAAGATCTTGTCAGTTTGTTAGTGTTTGAGCGCTTAATCG